GTCTGACGCATGTCCGTGGATGTTCCCGCGTGGCCGCAAGGGAGCCACGTCTGACACATTCTCCCCAACCCTGATGCTGGCATCTGAGACATGTCCATGGACGTTCCACCGTGGCCGAGAGGGAGGCACGTCTGACACATTCTCCCCAACCCTGATGCTGGCGTCTGACACATGTCCATGGATGTTCCACCGTGGCCGAGAGGGAGCCACGTCTGACACGTTCTCCCCAACCCTGATGCTAGCGTCTGACACGTGTCCATGGATGTTCCACCGTGGCCGAGAGGGAGCCACGTCTGACACATTCTCCCCAACCCTGATGCTGGCGTCTGACACATGTCCATGGACGTTCCACCGTGGCCGAGAGGGAGCCACGTCTGACATGTTCTCCCCAACCCTGATGCTGGCGTCTGACACGTGTCCATGGATGTTCCACCGTGGCCGAGAGGGAGCCACGTCTGACACATTCTCCCCAACCCTGATACTGGCATCTGAGACGTGTCCATGGACATTCCACCGTGGCCAAGAGGGAGCCGTGCCAGAAGCATAGCCCCCTGTGGGAACACTACCTTCTGACACATGCTCAAGGAGCTGTTCCAAGGGCTGGCTGCTTCCCTCCTCCTGAGTGACATGCCTGAGTGGGTGTGGGTGAGGCAGAGCTACCTGTGTGTCAGCGATACATGCATCCAGCTTCACATGAGTGTCACCCCACAGCTGCTGCCCCTTGCTGCCCTCTAAAGCCTGGAGCGGCCCTGGTGAAAGTAAGGCAGGCACTGCTGGCCTCAGGATGGTACTAAAATCGTACTCCTGCAGACTAGAGTCCTGTGTGCTGGCTGCAGCGGATGTCTCCCCAGGGGCCGAGGGGGGTAGGTCTGAGCTGATGGACTGCAGCGCCTCCTCCAGGAGAGGGGCCACGCTGGTCTGCACAGGCTGCTCAGTCCCCGGGCCTCTAGGCAGGAAGTCTACAATACTGAGGCCAGCAGAGAACAACCTAGCCCCCTGCACCTGCTGGGGCTCTGAGCTGCCAGCCCCTACTGGTGGGGACTCCAGGGGCTGTGGAATTGTCATGCTGGGCCTGCTTAGGCAATCCCAGGCAGCCAAGTGCTGCTCTGCGGGTCCAGAATCACAGCCTTGGCCTCCTTCTTGGTGCTTGGGGCCCAGAGACATGACCTGAAATACAAGTGAACACGGTACCCAGTCTAGTCTCGTTTCCCTCCAGCCATCTAACCCTGTTCCCCAAGTTCAGCTCTGCAACCGTGACCAACGCTCATCAAATACTGAGGTCTAGGGGGATAAGGCCAGGCTCAGTACACCAAGCTCAGAGCCCCACACTAGGGCACCCTGGACCCTGCCCCGGCCCCTCACCTGGGAGTGCACACTCGGGAGGATGTCCAGCAGCTCCTGGGGCTTGTGAACCTTGGACATGTCTTTCAGCATCCCCTGAAATTCAAGCCAGCAGGTCAAGAGACAGCAGAGCTGCTGCCCAGCCCAGCGCAGCCTCCACACAGCAGCCCTGCCCCACCACACGGGGCGACAGCCCCTGCCACCCACAACTGCCAGACACACTAAATGACAGGTTTGTGCTGGGCTGGCTGGGAGCCAGGGTCCACAGCAAGTGCTATCTGCATCACGATCTGCATCTCTGAAACTCAGTGGCACAAAGAGGCAACACAGCCCCCGCTGAAAACTGAGAACTACCATCCCTCTCCCATAAAGCCCACAGGTCTGTGTACAATTTCAGGGTATACAGAGACGATCAAAGCCCAGGGCAAGAGCCACCACC